TTTGGGAGGCTGAGGTGAGAGGATCGCCAGAGCCTATGGGTTCAAGATCAGCCCTGGCAACTTGGTGAGGCCTCATCTCTACAATAAATAAAAAAAAATTAGCAGGGCATGGTGGCATGTGCCTGTAGTTCCAGCTACTTGGAAGGCTGAGGTGGAAGGATCGTCTGAGTCCAGCAGGTCGAGGGTGTAGTGGCCGGGAGCATGCCACTACCCTCCAGCCTGGGTGAGAGAGTGAGACTTCAACTCAAAAAAAAAAAAAAGAGAAAGAAAAAGTTTCAGATAAATACACAACATTTTTTTTTAAACAAGGAAGGAAAATACAAAAATGGAAACACCTTTTACTATTTGATTTGAAAATAAGGTGTCATTCAAGCCATAGTAGAAGTTTCTTTATATTGATGACAGGTTTCTGTTAGAAATAAATTTCTGGGACCAGGTGCGGTGGCTCACACCTATAATCCCAGCACTTTGGGAGGACGAGGTAAGAGGATGGCCTGAGCCCACAGATTTGAGACCAGCCTGGGCAACTTGGCAAGACCTCATCTCTGCAATAAATAAATAAAAAAAATTAGCCGGGCATGGTGGTGCATGCCTGTAGTTTTGGCTACTTGGAAGGCTGAGGTGAAAGGGTCGCCTGAGTCCAGTGGTTGAGGCGGTGGTGGCCATGAATGTGCCACTGCACTCCAGCCTGGAGACTCTGACTCCAAAGGAAAAAAAAAAACAAAAAGAAAGAAAGAAATTTCTGGTTTACCCTCAAATATGAGTCATTTGAATGAGGAAGATTTGGAGTGGCATTCTAGTGCACAAATCTATAGATGGGTAGACATGTGGACAGATGGAAACAGACATAGTTTCTCTTCTCCCAGCCCAAACTCAGATCATTTATTACGTACCATTTTGTAACTAAAACAGGTCATCTTTGCTGCACAGAAGCTGGTGTTGACAGCACTGGTTATTTCTCATTCTTTCTTTTTGATCACAGGCTATACAGGTGCTAGAACTGTTGTTAACTTCTGTTGTCTTTCTTCAGGCTGGTGCTGGGCGACTTGTCCTTTCTGGATGTGTTGTGATCATCATTGCAGCTAGAATATAATGTTCTCTTAACTGAAAGGGCCAGATGGAGTCATGACTTTTACAAAGACGTGGGTTTTTGGCTTCCAAGATCCACACGACATGTTCTAATGATTGGGCAGTTTTTCAGCATTCTTGACAACTGTAGGCTGTGAACAGTGGCTTTCTCCAGGTCCAAAAACATCTCCTGTCGCTTTGCGCTTTCTGAGTTGAAGCCAGCTTTTCCAAGAAACACTTTCTACTGTTGCTCATTGTGTTCCCAAATGAGGTAAATGAGTGCTCACTCACTGCTTAACTTGATTCTTCTCACTGACTCTCGCGCCTGCAGGTAAGCGGTAGAACAAGATTAGACTTCAGAATAAGAAGTCTTATTCATTCTTTCATGTATGCCACCACTTGTTCATTCGTTTATTAAGCACCTGTTGTATGTCACATATTGTTTCCAACAAGGCAAATCTCTTTCTTCAAGGAGCTCATGATACAACAAGGGATAGTTACATGTAAACCAGCAAAATGCAGCGTGACAAGAGCTAAAGTCGAAGTTTGATAGAGAATGGTAGAATGGACATTGGATCTCAGAAGGGGGAGGGAAGTAGGGGTGGAGGAACAAAAAAAATATATCTGTTGGGTTCAATGTGCATAGGAAGGTCGTGGGTACTCTTAAAGCCCAGAGCAAAATCTATTTGTATCCTCCAAAAGGAAAGAGAGAGAGAGAGAGAGAGAGAGCGAGAGCCCCGGGTGGCCTAGGAGCATCATGTACCCTATTCAACTTCGAGAATCAGAGAAGGCCACTGGAGCAGACGGCAGCTAAGACAAATCTAGGAGGACAGATAGGAATTCCAGTGACAGGACTGGAAGGTAGGGGAGGGCATCCAGAGGGTATTGTCTGAGTAACAGTCCAGAGAAAATGAAAAGGCAGGGGTGTCTTTTACAGGGAACAGCAGTTTTTGGGTTTTTTTTGAGTTGGAGTCTCACTCGGTCGCCCAGACTGGAGTGCAGTGGCCGCTCCCGGCCACCGCAGCCTCGACCTGCTGGGCTCTGGCGATCCTTCCGCCTCAGCCTTCCGAGTAGCCGGAATTACAGGCGCACGCTACCACGCCCGGCTGATTTTTTGATTTATTGTGGAGATGAGGTCTTGCCTGCCCAGGCAGGTCTCGAACCCGCCGGCTTAGGCAATCCACTCACCTCAGCCTCCCAAAGGCACGGGATTACAGGCTGAGCCACCGAGCCCGGCTGGAACTGCAGTTATTTAATTTAACTTTATTTATTTATTTTTAGTTGGAGTGTCTCTCTCTGTAACCCAGGCTGGAGTGTAGTGGCATGCTCATGGCCACTGAAGCCTCATAGTGACATGCTCACGACCACTGCAGCCTCTACTTACTGGATTCCGATGATCCTTTTGCTTCAGCCTTCCAAGTAGCTGGAATTAGAGGCATGGGACACCACGCCCAGCTAATTTTTTTATTTATTGTGGAGACGAGGTCTCACCAAGTTGCCCTGGCTGGTCTTGAACCCCCGGTCTCAGGCAACCCTCTCACCCCAGCCTCCCAAAGTGCTGGGATTACAGACTTGAGCTACCGTGCCCGGCCTCATGTAGGCATTTGGGATCTCCTGTCTCCAAACCTAGACAAAAGATCAAGTTCAAGCCATTTCAGTTACCATGTCAGGTATGACCAACTCAGTGGAAGATCCTACCTATCAGATAAGACCAGGAGAGTTCCTCACATACATTAAGAGAAGACTCTTTTACCTCAGTGAATAAAATGGAGTAGAAAGATAAATATTTACTTGAGGTCCTATCATGTGCCAATTACTATGCAAAATTTATTCCAGGCCTTTCTATAGAAGAAGATAGTAATTTAAGTGGTCACAAGTGCATGTATATAGTTAAACTTATAATTTGTAAAGTGTGTTTTGTGTATCTTAAGATATTATATTTTACTTAGTAGAATGTGACTTTAATGTTAAAGCAATCAAATAAATATTCAGTCAGAGTTTGTAACCCTGGCAAACTTCAACAAATTTGCACATTCAGTATTGATTTGGGGCCAGGCATGGGCTCATGTCTATAATCCCAGCACTTTGGAAGGCTGAGGTGGGAGGATCGCTTGAGCCCAGGAGTTTGAGAACAGCCTGGGCAACAAAGTGAGACTTCATCTCTACAAAAAAAAAAAAAAAAATCAAAAAATTATCCAGGTGTGGTGGCACATGTCTATAGTCCCAGCTACTCAGGAACCTGAGGCGGAAGGATTACCCGAACCCAGGAAGTCAAGGCTGCAGAGCTGTGATCATGCCACTGCACTCCAGCCTGAGTGACAGGTGACAGAGAGAGACTCCAACTCAAAAAAAGAAAAGAAAAGAAAAGAAAAAAAGATGGATTTGGATCAAGGTAACCTTTCTCCTCCTTGGGATGAAAATCTCGGCCGCTAAATAAATCAGTAACAGACACTTCTGCTGGTAAAACAGGCCAAGCATTATCTTCCCGGGACTTCTCAGATCGATGGTTTAGGGTGTTGAAGGAATACCTTGTCGAACTCACTTAAAAAAAATAAGTTCTTAGTCCTCGCAACAGAAATGGAGCCACAAAGCTCGTTTACATTTACGAACTTGCTTTTGGTGTGAGTCATGGGCGATGAGGATCTTGATTTCTTAAGAAGGGCATAGAAGCTGAGCTAACCTTGAATTTCCTCAGCGGCTTTGTGTAGTGCCTTTGGCATACTGTTACTCAATGCATTTTTGCTGATCCCGTATCCAATTAGCCAGATATCTGTATCTACAAAGAAAGCATCTCTTCACGCCAGATAGGAGCTGCCAGACAGCCTGTGTTTGTAGGACTGCCCTATAGGCCTGAACCTTTGCCCATCAATGAGTGATGAATTAGGTTGCGTTCGCACAGCAGCCCTAATTCCTGGCTATGGCATCTGGGTAAAATCTGACTGTGGCAGCTGTCCTGAGCACATGCTTCCTTCTTTCTTCTCCCAGGCTTCTGGGCTGGCCCTGCTGGTTGTTTTTCCTGCTCACATCTGGCAAGCGTCACTGGATCTTAGGGCGAGAGAGGATTCCAGTGTAACATTTTGATCCATTGCAAGTGCTGGAGCCACTGAGCCAGGGCAGCCACAGGTGCGAACGTGATGAAACTTGGTGCCTCTGATGGCAGAAGCCTGGGTTAACCTTAGAACCTTAGGAAAGTCCCCACCAGGCAAAAGGGACTCCAGAGTTAATGATTACTGTGAAAGCAGGAGTAAAGACACAAATGAGAGCACATGGGAGACAGAGGGACTTGACGTTGAAAATGAGATGGAGAGAGAATTCTGAATTACAAATCAGAGGAAGAGTCTCTTGCCGCATCTGTGAAAAATGAATGGGTTGGCTCTACTGACCAGTGGCAACAGAAGCCAAGGGAATACGATTCTAAAATATTTGGGAGCATTTCATACAAAAACGAGGAGATTTAGAATTAAGTAGAGAGGGCCGGGAGTGGTGGCTCATACCTGTAATCCCAGCACTTTGGGAGGCAGAGGATTGCCTGAGACCAGGAGTTTGAGACCAGCCTGGGCAACTTGGTGAGACCTCGACTCTACAATTAAAAAATTAGCTGGGCATGGTGGCCATGCCTGTATTTCCAGCTACTTAGAAGGTTGAAACAGAAGTGGAAGGATGGCTTGAGGCCAGTAGTTCAGGATTAGCCTGAGCAGCATGGTGAGACCTCATTTCTACAAAACATTTAAAAACTATCCACATGTGGTGGTGTACGCCTGTGTTCCCAGCTACATGGGAGGCTGAGGTAGAAGGATTACCTGAGCCCAGCAGGTCGAGGCTACATTGAGCAGTGATCATGCCACTGCACGTCAGGCTGGGTGACAGAGTAATTCCCTGGCTCAAACAAACAAACAAACAAACAAAGAATTACATATAAGGACAAATGGAAAATGAAGGCTCTTTCGAGGGGGTTATCAGAGGGCCATTGGAGAGGCTGTAGTTTTACAACGTTTGTGTCCGACTGTGGATTTGCAGAAGGTATCTGTCGGAGCTGGGCTGAAAGCCGGATTCGGGAAGTGGGTGGAGCCCGGAACAGCCAGGGTGCTCTGAGATGGCCTCCACGTGGGGCAGAGTATGGGAAACCGTGCAAATCCTAGGGCTGCACAAAGCGGAGTGGCCCTTGGGGTAGCACTTAGAGGTGGCTTTCAAAGGACACTCCCCTTTGAAACATTGCTCTGTGCTGGCAGAAGGGCTGTGATTTCTTCAGATCAGCTGATAGGAGACTCTGATGTTTACCAGCTTCAGGGAGATCGGGCCATTGTGATTTTTTTTTTTCCCTGTAGTAAAACTAGCCCCAGCCAGCCTGACAGGGAATTTACTGCCTGAGCTATTTTCCAACATGAGTTTTACTGGCAAAACCAGGCGTGAAGGGGCCTGTTGACACTGACTTTATTTTTACTGCCAGCTTTCAAGTGGGAAGAGGGAAATTAAGAGTAAAGGTTAGCAGGTGAGCAGAAGAACCCTTGCCCTGTCACTGGCGGGCGCGTGTGCCTCTCCGTGCGTGCGTGTGTGTACCTGTGTCTATGTGTGTGCAGGCTTCTCCAAAGGCCAAGCGTGTGCCCTGCTCTGGTTGACAAGACCTGGTCACTTGTCTGTAGGTATTGATGCCAGGTGGGGTGTGGTGCAAAATGTGTGGATTCTTTGGCTCCTTTCTAAGATAGATTTTAGAGTGGCCAGCAAAGTTTTCAAACAAAGTTTATGAGAGAAGGAAAAGAGGAGGGACAGAGAGACATGCCAGAGCCGGCATGGGCGGCAGAAGCCACACCTTTTGCGCTTTACAGTAGGTCTGATATACCTTCATGATGGTTGAAATGTTAAAGACGGTAGAGCCCAGGTAATTGCTGCCCTCTCAACTCTGATGGGAGGAGGGGTGGTCTTATGATCATTTCTATGGTTTTGATCAGTTAAAGGGTGGCATTGAGCTTTTTACCTACAACAGAGAACCTGAAGAACTTTTAGTAATTATGCGCTGAAAGCTTGGGCTGTCCTAGTCTTACCTGTGATGGGATTTTCTTTTAGTTTGCCAAGAGGGTGGGGAAGGCTGCCAGCTTGGCCTGCAGTAAAATGTACTTTTAAAAGTGTCTGAATGCTTCCTAAAACCTACCTAGGGGAAATTTATCTATCTGTGTCTAACCTGTGTTAGCTACCCTGCCTCAGGTATGATAACAGGCGCCTGGCTGGTTGTTTGGCAGTTTCCTACTTGTTTATTGTAAAGAAGGTAAATCAGTCTGCAGGGTTTTCTGGATTGGAGAGCAAGGAATATTTACTGTCAACAGAATGAGGGCAAGGAGATATAAGATACTGAACTCCAGGGTGCATCTGGTGTCAGGGCAAAAGCGTAAAAAGGTGGGGAAGCCAATTGCCGGGCAGTTCTGTCTTGAATGAAACTTTTAAGCATTGGGGTGGGAAATACAGCTTGGAAAATTGCCGTCTGGTCAACACACCAACCAATAGAACTAAACAGGGTAGGACTCAAATTCGGTTTCCTCGTTTTAAAAAAATGATTATTTTTTAATTCCCCAAAGGATAGCAGATGGAGTATTACCAGGCGGAGATGAGAACTTGAATGAAGAGTTAGAAGGCAAGTCTCTGGTTTATTTCCAGAGAAATTGAGCATCCAGGGACTATCATTACTGGGAACACTACCCACAGGAATTGTTCTCCACCGAGAAGGAAACCAGGAAATTGTTGTTCTACTCAGGACTGATCCAGGAGCCATGAAAGCCATTACTTCAGAAGACTTCGAAGATTGTTTGCTGAACAAGGTAAGGACAGATGCTGGGCTTTCCTGTGCACCCCTCTTCCCTGTGTATCCCCACTCCTTCCCCCAGCCTTGATCCCGAAAGGATTTCAGGATGCTTCAAAAGATACACACTCCTCATAAGGTATTTTGGAACTTAACTAGACCCTTCTCTTTGAGGGTCTAGTGCCCAGAGGCATAGAGTATAGAACGGAGAGTTGGAATCTGGGCTGGAGCTCCAGCTCTGCCACTGATACTTGTGTGGTCACGAGTCACTTAACCTGCCTGAGGGCCAGATGTGGTGGCTCATGCCTGTAATCCCAGCACTTTGGGAGGCCAAGGCAGGAGGATTGCTGGAGCCCAGGAGACCAAGACCAGCATCGGCAACATAGCCAGACCTCATCTCTAAAAAAATAAAGGCTGGATGCGGTGGCTCAACCCTGTAATCCCAGCACTTTGGGAGGCCAAGGTGAGAGAATTGCCTGAGTCCAGGGGTTCGAGACTGGCCCATGCAACTTGGCGAGACCTCATCTCGACAGTAAATCAAAAAATTAGCCGGAGATGGTGGTATGCGCCTGTCGTTCCAACTACTTCGAAGGCTGAAGCAGAAGGATGCCCTGAGCCCAGGAGGTCAAGGCTGCAGTGGCCATGAGTGTGCCACTGCACTCTAGTCTGAGCAACACAGTGAGACTCCAACTCAAAAAAAAAAAGAGAAAGAAATAAAAAAAATTAGCCAGGCATGGTGGTACATGTCTATGGTCCTAGCTACTTGGGAGACTGAGGTGGAATGATCACATGATTACTGCCTGAGCTATTTTCCAACATGAGTTTTACTGGCAAAACCAGGCGTGAAGGGGCCTGTTTACACTGACTTTATTTTTACTGCCAGCTTTCAAGTGGGAAGAGGGAAATTAAGAGTAAAGGTTAGCAGGTGAGTAGAAGAACAGGAGCAGGAGTTTGAGGCTACAGTGAGCCAGGATTGTGCCACTGCACTCCAACCTGGGTGACAGAGACCCCTGCTGAAAAAACAAACAAAAAACAATCTGCCTGAGCCTCTGCTTTCTTCTCTGTAAAATGCGAGTGATATAGGGACTTAATGGGGTCATTGAAAAAGAGCAAATGAAATTAAGACAAAGTTTTTTAAAACTGTGAAACTGGCCATTGCTTTTGTTCAGTTCTGGCCAGGCCATGTGTTCATTGACCTATGGCCACCATGCATTTGTTAAACCCTGACCCAACCATGTAGCTCTTTGAACTCTGGCCAGGCTGTGTTTTACTAAACTTTGGCCCCCTCCCCTATCTTCGGGAGGTGAATCTTCTCTCTCTAATCTACTTTCTAAATAAATGATATTTTCTAATCTAAAAACAACAGCAATAACAAAAAAACCCCATGAAGCTGCTAAGTTTTTAAAAAATATTCTACTTTTAGAACACATCAATTAAGAGCTCATCTGATTTCTTCTAGATAGAGTCATAGGCTCTTAAAATGTTAAACTTGAGGGGACTTTAAATATTATCTAACACAGATGAGGCTATTAAGGCATGATGTTAATTTTAAAACAAAAATACTTCAACTGACTAAGAGGTAGGGACTAGCCTGTGGTTTTCATGCCGTCACAGGTAAATAAAGCAAAAGATAATTATCATAGTGATAAGCATATTTCTTAGGCTAAACCATTAACAGAGATACATAAGGAAAAATCTATGAGAATAAAAATTATAATCAACAAAGTGATTTCCATTATTCCACTTTTGAGGGCTCTACATGGAAGAGATGCTGATTTTGTATTTTTTTTTTTTTTTTCTGAGTTGGAGTCTCAATCTGCCACCCAGGCTGGAGTGCAGTGGCACATTCCTGGATTGCTCAGGCAATCCTTCCACCTCAGCCTTCCAAGTAGCTGGAACTACAGGCATGCCTGGCTAATTTTTTGATTTCTTTGTAGAGATGAAGTTTCGCCAAGTTGCCCGGGCTGGTCTCAAACTCCTGGGCTCAGGTCATTCTCTCACCTCAGCCTCCCAAATTGCTGGGATTATAGGCATTAGCCACCACGCCTGGCCTGATTTTGTATTTTTTGTAAGAAAAGACTCCAGATTTTTTCTCCTGGCTTCAAATATCTTCAATTGCTCGGTCTTTCTCCACTCTGTTTCCCTTGCATTTTCAACAGTAAAATTCTAAGTAGTGAAACATATGTTGAATCTCCCATGCCGCTTTTTTTTTAACCTACAGAGTATTTTTTTTTAAATTTTGCAAACATTTCAAAATAGTGAGTTTTGCCAAAAAATCCAGTTTTTTAATCTGCCCTCTTGAAAAAAAAATGTCAGGATATCTGGCAGCCATAGGTCCCCGTGTTTGCCTGGAAATTGTGAGCTGGGCCTGAGTGTCTTTTAAGCATGTGGTGACCAGTTCTCAGGAGGCTGTGGCGCTTCTGGGTCTAATGCCTGCACCCCGGACCCCTCACTCTCTCACGTGTGTCTCCTGCTCATCCCTGCAGATGGTTGAGTATCCCACTCTTGTCCCCAAGAACTGTGTCCTGAGCAGGTCTCAGGCCCAAGCTCCTTCTCTCCACCTTTTTGGCCCACATTCTTCAAACTCAGCTCAGAGTCCACTTTCTCAAGGATTCCCCTGACACCCAGCACAAAATGGTTTTGCTCTCCTACGAACTCCCATTATAATGATTATTGACATTGCTAATTTGGCAATCAACTGTATACTGACTTCTCACACCTTTCCTGTTAATACTGCAGTTGCCCACCCCCCCCTTTTTTTGAGTAGGAGTCTCCCTCTGTCACCCAGGCTGGAGTGCAGTGGCACGCTCACAGCCACCATAGCCTCGACCTGCTGGGCTCAAGCGATCCTTCCGCCTCAGCTTTCCAAGTAGCTGTAACTACAGGCGCACGCCACCACACTCGGCTGATTTTTTGATTATTGTAGAGATGAGGTCTCACTAAGTTGCCTAGGCTGATCTCGAACCCCTGGGCTCAGGCAATTCTCTCACCTCAGCCTCCCAAAGAGCTGAGATTATAGGCCTGAGCCGCTGGGCCGGGCCCAGTCCCTTAAATATTATATCATTTCATTCTTTGTAAGTTTTTGGGGAGAGGGGAAGTATCTTGGGTATCTCTCCTTTGATATTCACAGAGTATCTTGCACATATGTGGTAGGAAATATCTTCAGAGCTCATTGAGGATAAAACAAGAGTGTGTAGAAAGTGCAGGCAGTTTGAGGCACATACAGGAGAATCTAATCGACAACCACATGATATCCATATCACCTCCATTTTTTTTTTTTTGAATCAGGGTCTCATTCTGTCACCCAAGCTGGAATGCAGTGACACAGTCCCAGCTCACTGAAGCCTTGAGATCCCAGGCTCAGGCAATTCTTCCGCCTTGGTTTCCTCAGTAGCCAAGACTACAGGCACATGCCACCACACCAGCTAATTTTTTTGTGGTGACAGGGTCTTGCTACGTTGTCCAAACTGGTCTCAAACTCCTGGCTCAAGTAATCCTCTTGCCTCCGTCTCCTAGAGTGCTGGGATTACAGGTGGGAGCTACCATGCCCGACCCCTGATTGTTATAGAAGAGGAAACAGTGGCTCATGGATACTAAATAACTTGTCCAAAGTAACACAGCTACATTGTGAAGGTGCTGAGATTTCAGCCTCGTGTTTTTCAGTCCAAAGGCCGTATTTCCTCTGCTGAATCCCTCCAGATCTGCAAACACATACCGAGGACTTGCTTTATGCAAAAATACTGTGGTATGGTTTGAGGTGGACCAGGGTTTGAGATGTGTTTTCCTAAATGAGAGGTAGATGCTGTGTTTTGGGTCTGAAGGATACCTTGTCCCACCTGCAGATTCTGCACATAACTTCAAAGGACAAAGGAGAAAGTTCTGTGTGCGGATAAGCAAAAGTTTAACATGATACATGGCCGACCACAAGGGCTGCAATACAGATTTCAACAGAATGCTGGAGGAGGCAGAGGAGGACAGAGGAGTATTAGTTCTGATGGGACAGGTGTCTTGGAGAAACAGGAGTGGAGGCTGTGTGTCACACCTCTTTGGGAGGCCAAGGCAGGAGGACTGCTTGAGCCCAGGAGTTCAAGACCAGCCTGGGCAAAACAGTGAGACCCGTCTCTACAAAAAATCAAAAAATTTGCTGGGCATGGTGGCATACTCCTGTAGTCCTAGCTAGTTGGGAGGCTGAAACAGAAGGATCACTTGAGCCCAGGAGGTCAAGGCTGGGGTGAGCCACGATGGTGCCACTGTACTCCAGCCTGGGCAATAGAGGGAGACTTTGACTCAAAAAAAAAAGCAAAACAAAGCAAAAAGAAAAGAAAGAGGAGTGGAAACAAAACCTTAGAGGATGCATAGTGTTCTAATAAGTGAAGTACAGGGAAGATCTTCCCATCTAAGAAAATCCCATTCAAACACTTAAGTTGGGTTGATTCCCAGTCACCTCTGGGGAGGCAGAACGAGGCAGTGGTTACGAAGATGGACTTTGGGATGACACTGCCTGGGTGGGAACTCCTGTTCTGTGACTTCTTAACCCTGGGACTCTGGGAAAATTATTTTGATTTTCTGAACTGCAGTTTTCTCGTCTGCAAAATGGGGCTAATCGCAGCACCCACCTGAAAGCGTTATCGGGAGGCTCAACTGAGCCCACCTTTATGAAGTCCCCCCTTGAGATGCTTCTGCGGCCTTTGGGCCCACAAACGTCCTGTGTGGCCCAGGAGTTTGCTTCATAGAAGCAAGTCATAGAAGACTTCATCTGAAGAGAAAGGGCTATCGCAGTGGAAAGCCTGCCGTCCTGTCTGCATCTATCACCGAGTCTAGGTCTTCGCCCCCTTACATTGTTAGCTTCCGGAAGGCAGGGGTGACACCTGCTTTCATTGTGCTGTGTGTTTGCTTTGATGCTGATTATTGGACTTAATGCAATTCCAGAACTGAAGGTCTGACTTCTTGTTTTCTGGAAGGAAGTTCTCCGCCTTTCCCCCGCCCCAGAGACACTCATTGTGGGTAACCTCCAGGCAG